ACTTTCCAGGTGGTTCCAATGAACAGCCAAGAATGAGAACAGGGTCCTGGCCCAATGCTTCTCAAACTCATGTGCTTGTGATGGGCCCAGAACGCCATTAAATAGTAAGCCTGGGGTCCAGAGTCTGCATTTCTAACAAGCTCACTCCCAGGTGATGTAACATATCTGATCTGAAGACCACAATTTGAGCATCAAGGAGCTAGAATATCAATGTGTTTTGGTAAAACTCTGCTTTTTTTTTTTTAAATAGGCTTTATATTTTTAGAGCAGTTTTACATTCACAGCAAAATTGGGTAGAAAGCACAGTATTCTCTCATGCACCTCCTGCCCCCACACATGCACAGCTTCCGCCATTATCAACATCCCACACACACGGTGAAGCTATGCTGATGCATTATAATCATCCAAAGTCCATAATCTACACTAGGGTTCACTCTTGTACAGTTTTGACAGAAGTATAATGACTAATACTCACAACTATCATAAAAGTAGTTTTGCTCCCTAAAAATCCTGTGCACTCAGCCTATTCTTCCCTCTCTACCTCCTAATCTCTTGCAGCCACTTAAAACTGATTTTTATTCAGTTCAATTCTGGAGAAGAAAATGGCAACCCACTCCAGTATTTTTGCCTGGAGAATCCCAGGGACAGAGGAGCCTGGTGGGCTGCTGTCTATGGGGTTGCACAGAGTCGGACATGAGTGACGCGACTTAGCAGCAGCAGGAGCAGCAGCAGTTCAGTTCACTCACTCAGTCACGTGGACTCTGAGATCCCATGGACTGCAGCCTCCAGGCCTCCCTGTCCATCACCAACTCCTAGAGCCTGCTCAAACTCATGCCCATCGAGTCAGTGATGCCATCCAACCATCTCATCCCCTGTTGTCCCCTTCTCTTCCTGCCTTCAATCTTTCCAAGCATCAGGGTCTTTTCTAGTGAGTCAGTTCTTCGCATCAGGTGGCCAAAATATTGGAGTTTCAGCTTCAGCATCAGTTCTTCCAATGAATATTC